ATAATATCCTTAATCGCTGTAGGTATACACACAATTACACTCATTGAAGCCAATCACTTCTACGATGAAAAAGAGCTACACTGACCATGGATATACTTATTACAGAAAAAAAGATGACATCTTCATTTAGAAAAAAGAAAATCTAAATAATACATGGCTTTCCCAAAAAAGGATAGCAAAAAATTACAGCGCATTCATGTTTTCTGGCTCTACCAAACTTGATGTTCATAAGCATCTGATGGTCATGAACCACATCTTATAGCTACTTAAACCCAGTTGGGCCATGATCTATTAACCTGTGCAGCTTAATTAGTTTCGTTTTTTTTTTTTTGGCTAGGTATGAACCAGAAATATCCTAAGACTTTTAACCTTATCCTAGAGGTGTGTATGTGGTGGGAAACTCTAGAATAACATAAAAGCAGTATGGTTTAAAAGTAGCTCTGGTACTACCATTTTCAATTATCTCTATTATCAGTTGATTAATGCTAGATAGTGATTTGCCTGTGATTGGTCAAACTAGAGATAATTCTGAATAAATGAAAATGCATATTTTATTGAAGTAATAATGTTACATTAATAGCAACAAGGTCCCAGGTTCAAGAGCTGGCATAGAGATTCAGAGCTATTTTGCCGGCTCACTCTGATAAGACTAGCTGGGTCCCATTACCTCCAAATCAGGATTTACATGAAAGGTTTTGAGTATCCTGTTTCAAAAGCAGAGGGAATGAGGCAGAAATAAGGAGCAACCCTAGAAATTGCCTGACTTAGGAGCAAACTCTTACAGGAAGTTGGTTAATTGTTATTTAAGCTAATAAAGGAAACAAGGAGGTGGCAAGTTTGGACCCTCTCCAAGCATATATACGCAGAATTTTGGTAAGAACAGGTGTCAATGTTAATTTACAGGGAATTACATGTTTTACTTTATGAGTACTTACAAAATATTATTTCTAACCTTGTTAAACTGCAACCTAGAAAACTTTTGCTCAGAGTCATTCATTTAACTCTCCCTCTCTGACGTCTTTCTCATTCATTAGTCTGAAACCCCTTCAAAGAGACAGACTGCACTTTGAGTTCAAAATAAAAGGTTAACAAGAAACTGTCAGTGTTCACCAGAGATTTTTTTTAAATATCCATGTAATCAATATAAACCTGGAAGAAGTTGTCTGAAATAGCCGAAACGGGAAAATATTTAAAGAAGCCATAGATCCTGCCAACTCAACACTGGGGCATCCTGACCGCAAGTCTGGAACTACAAGAAACAAGTCATAAACCTCTGAACCTTGGAATTATGAAATCTGGCACAACAAAGGCAAAGCCTATCAGCCTAGCCATAGTTACTCATTGGGGTGTATTTCCTGCCTCTCCTACAGGAGTGTAGGCAGAGACAGAGCACTTTGAATGGAGATGAACAAAAAGCACCCATCTGCAGCAAATAAAATTTGTGATTCAAGGAACTTGTGAGGGTAGGCAGGAGGCACTCCCTCACTTGGGTTACAGGTGTAGGAAGAAAGTGGAGACGGCAGTTCCAGAAGTCAATCCTTTCCCTGACTCCCCAACCAGTGACCTTCATTTTGTTCTTTGCTTCATTCCACAGTACTGAGTGAAAGAGCAGTGGCATTGTGGGGGAAAAAGAAGGGCCTTGAAAACTAAAAGAATAGAAGAAAATGAATGCAGGAGAGATTAGAGAGAAAAAATATTTTCCCAAAGGGAAAAAAATGAAGTGAATGGTAATAGTAATGGAAGGAGACTAAGGAAAAGAGAGGGAAAAGGATTGGAATCAAGATTCAAGACAGAAGGGGAAATGATACAAGCAGGCTGAGAAAACTGCAAGAAGAAAAGGGAATAAATGGGAACAGAGAAACTGAATTTTCTGGAGGAATGAGAGACATGATAAAGAAAAGAGAAGAGATGATGGGCATTGCCAAAGGAAGTAGGAAATGAAACATGAAAATACAAAAGGGAATGAGTAGAGAATGAAGGACTGATTCATTTAAAGCAAGAGTGCTCAATACTGAATTACACTCAGAGTTCAATGCAGTTTTGGAAATGACTAGAGTTTAGAAAATATGGATAGAAACTGTTGGAGGACCATAAGTAGATGGAAATGATATACAGGAATGCATCAAGCATGGGAAATATCCAGCAGGTCCAGACTTGCTAAGTGTCACGCACCTGGGATGACACATAATTGTTTTCACTGATGTTGGTACTCTACCACTCAGCACCATTGACATGTAACTCGTGAGTAAGGCTCTTGATGTTCTTCCTCCTGGCTCCTAGGGGCTGCTAAGCATGTAGCTAAAGTCTCTGCTGACAGCTGCCCCAGCACTAGGTTTCTCACATCCTCTGGGCTTCACAGCAGGCTGTCATGAGGAAAGACAGACCATAGGAAAAGATGTTCCAGTACGAGGAGCATCATAGTTGCTTGCCTACTAAGCTGGCACTAAATTGCTTAAAATTAGAAGGGATTTATGGAGAGCCCAGGGCTTTCCTGAAAGAAGGGTAAAGGAAAGGTCATTTGGATGAAGGGGAAAGTTCATTTCTTTGGGGGGAAAAGAGTAGTGGCATAGCACTACGGGCCTCACTCTCATGGGGCCCCATTATGGGGCCTCAAAGTCAATACTGTGAAACAACGAATAATAATTAACTACAAGTAGGGTACCAGACTGAGCCAGGCAGGGAGTGAGGCTGATACCCATGGTTCCAAAGAATATGTTCTCCCCCGTGAAGTTATTCCTCTCCTCAGTGACAGATCCTGGCAGAGAAGTCATATTTTGCACAGGTTGTCTCTTTTTCATCAATCTTTAATTAAAGACCATGGTTCTGAGCTGTGTAGACCTCTGCCGGCAAGGATACAGAATCCATTCATGAGACAGAACCGCTTAGGTTATCCAGCTGAAGCTTTATGAAACCCAGCCACAGTTTTTTTCTTGTCTATTTGCATTGTAAATTTTTCCCCATGTTTCTTAAGAAAAGCTTTCTTTTTTTTTTTGTAATTTTTTGTTTTAAATTGACTGCAGATAAGTGTTTTGGTGAGCGCCTATGCTGGCTTTTATCAGTGATCCCAGCCAATAAACTGTATATGACTTCAACAGATGTTTCTTCTATTTAGGACAATAAGATGTTTTGAAGTCCTCAGAAGCAAATTAAAGTAAGGAAGAGAAATTAGAATGTCTTATGGAAATGAGAGACATTTTCCCATCCGGATTTTTTTTAATAACCTTTGATGTTGTATTTGAGTTTAATAATAAAAACCAGAAAGATAGGTGAAGACATAATTGTGCGTAGGAAGGAAACATCCACTATGTCCATAATTAGTCATAACTAGTGTTGTTGCTACAGTTTTAATACAAGAAGCCAGACTCTCAGCTTGTATAAGTTAACAGAACTCCGTCGAGTTTATACAAAATTGATACATACAACATTACTTTAATGGAGCAACACTAGTTTATACCAACAGAGGATTTGATCCAATGACTCTCAAGCTGGGACATAAGAAGAAAAAAAAAAACAAGGTACAAAATTCAGGGAAGAATTGATGTCTGTGTTTTATCTAACTGAAATTGTAAGTGCTTTCCATAAACATTAGGCAATATCTACAAATGTCTCGTGCTGTGTGCAGGGTTAGTGAAATTATGCTACAGATTCCTTTAAATAAAAATGATTTCAAACAAAAACATCCGGTGTTCTGCAAAGTGTATGTCATAATATTTCCTTCCATGTTCTCAGCTTTTTGGCCCTGGCCCCTGTGCTACCATCTTTATTTAATTCATTAGATTTTTCTTACATTTTTTGTTATCGAGTAGTCTGTTATAAGAAAGCTGGTTTCACCATATATTTGGAAAAAAAAACCAGGGGCTGAAATACTGAATTTTTAAACGATATGTTGAAAGACAGGGTTCTATATAACTGCAAACTTATTGCCATTAGCTTTTGTGTTTGGATTTTGTCCATATTGTAACGACAACAACAAAATCACTCCAAATTGGAATTACTGTAGAGGACCCATATACCGTGCATCACAAAAATCCCTGTGAAGTGGCCACTCAGCCCTCAGGAAGCTATTAGAAAGACTGCTCAGGAGAAAAGTCATGACTGATGCCAGCGAGTGAGGGTGTGCATGAGATTGTTGGGGGAGGGATGAAGAGTCCACAATTTAGGTAATCTGTTCGATGCCATAACTACCATCAAAAAAGTTTTCTAGCGTCCAAGCTAAATCTCTCCTATTGCAATATAAACCTGTTGCCTCTTGTTCTGTCCCTTTTAGAAAACAATGGATCACCATCTTTATAATCTTTCTAGGCACATTCAGATGAGCAGAATTTGTGTTTCCCTGGGGACAAGTAGCAGTGGCACAACTTGTGCTTCTGCTACTTGTCTCCAGGGACCACCCATGCCACACATAGTCTGGCGCACAGCAGGTAACCTTGGGAGGGATAGGGGAGGCTGGGGCCAGCAACCCTACTGGCCTCAGCACACCTTGGAGCTGTAGCCATGGTGCTCCTGTAGCAGGAAGCCCGGGTGGCAGCTGGCATGTGGCTCTGACCAGTCAGGATCCAGTTTGGGGCAGTTTATGTGTGCTCTTCCACTTTTTTCTGGCATGGTTTTTTTGACCCCGGGATCTCCTGGGATCAGCTCCCACCCCCCATGCTGTAAAACAGCAATGCAGGGAACATCTTCATGTGCAGCGTGTGGTGCTGCAGATGAGTTGGCGGCACCATATACGACACTTTCACGCTCATCTGGACATACCCTTTGTATCTGAAGGCTGATATCAAATCCCCCTCATTCTTCTCTTCTCCAGTTCTTCCTGACACATCTAGGTAGCATGACCCAGAGTTAACCCTCATCTGAAGTGGTGTAACTTTGAGATGCTCAAAGGACACTTGGCACAAGTTAAAGAGCTTTAATGTGCAGACGCTAGAGTTTTAAGTGCCTTTAGTATGGTCTAAGTATAATGTGTAACTTCCCACTAAGTAATCTCTAACTTGTTTTTTCTACAAGGTACTAATCTCGGTTGAGTATCACACCCTCAACCTCGCTGGTAAATATACTTTTCATGTACTATTAATTAGTTAATTAATACTACTACTAATTAATCATAAGTATTCCCATCACAGATATAAATAATATATTAAACCTAATTTTTAATGACTTGTTTATTTTAACTGTGTATTTCTATCTGTTAATCTAAATAAAGTCTGAAATTTTCTTATGAAAATGAAATATGCTAACTGACCACATTTTTCATTTTTCACCCACTGGCTTTTAACTTTGAATATAAAAAGATCAATGGGAACATTTTAATTTCCTTCTTTCTTAAATCAGTGTTTCATCAAAGCAAAGGAGCCAAGAATTTTTTAAGGCAGCTATGCAAGGAACACAAGGGTGAATGAATTTCGTGAAGCAGGTAGAATCAAACTACTATTACCTGAATCTAAAAAATACAACTGAAATGTTTTCTTTTGCAAAATTTTGCTTTGACAGAAAAGCAAACATCATGGAAAAATGTTAATCCTGAGGTTGTACTCAGACATGAACCTGTAACCTTCACAAGCATAACAAAAACAGAAACTTTGTTCATGCAAGTTCCCAAATTGAATATTGTGGGACTGGAGCTGGACAGCTTTTCAGGGGAACTATTTTGCCTGAAAATGCTGATTCAATTTTACCAAAACTTTTACAAATTTGCATCAGTTTTGTGAATTGGTTTGCCCTCCAAGATCCTAGATACTAAAAACTGTTTTTTGGACATTCTGAAAGCCAAATATTTTAATTTTCATTGTGAAACTGTTTTGCTGTGACATGTCTCCAGTTGCTTTCTAACTATTATAAAAAAGTTTAAAGTAATGAACATGAAATTAAATTTTTGTTTCCAGTTGAGTGGGGCATGAAGTGCAACCTGAAACAGTTTTTGGCCCTTTGATTCGATTCATAATGATGAAAAACTTTTATTTGGATATTTTTTCTCCCCTGATTTTTCCATTGGGTGAACTTTAAAAATCAGTTAGTTGCACAACTTTCAAGTGGGACTACTCCTGTGAGTAAATGCTTAAAAAAATTGTTGCAATGTTTGTTCAAGGAAAATCCTGTTTATTCATAGAGTCATAGACATTAGGGCTGGAAGGGACCTCAGAAGATCTTTGAGTCCAGCCCCCATCAGTGAACTGATTTCAATTAATGTATTTGGCTCAGTTCATGCAGATACACCTTAGAAGTCTTCAGAAATGTGCGCAGGATCCAAATCAAACAAAATTAGTTAATTTCATATTGCAATAAAATATTGTTCTACACAGGCAGGTGTTCTATATGGAAAGAAGCCAGCAAAATACCTTAAATAGTGAAATTACAAAGAATTTACAAAAGACCATGGGTAACACTTTTAATTACATGAAGAGCCATTTATTTCAGGTAAAAGGGGTGTTGATCTCCTCTGAGTAAGTCTGAGGAAATAGCATTTTGTTATAAGTGTTCAATTCACAAATCTTTTAATTATTTTTGTTGTTTTTTAATAATTCTGATTTTTATTGATATGTCTTTAAAAAATAACAGTTGCTGCCTCTAAGAAGAAAAAGTATTGGAGAGGAGAAGGGCCATTGGTAAGATATTCTCTGAAACAGTCTGGTGCTTACTGAATTCATTCAAATAACTTTACTTCATAAATTGGTATATGTTGAAAGACCTTATGAGCTTAATTTTCCACTCCATTACATGACTTTTACATTGGTAAAACTTTATTAGAGCTCCAGTAATATAAAATTTGTGTAACAGTCCAACCCCTAGATGTTTCAAGTTTCCATAGGCAGACTAGGTTCTTTGGGGGAATCTGATATCTTTTATTAGACCAACTTAAATAGTTGGAAAACAATTATTAAGCGAGCTTTCGGGTTCAAAAACCCTTCGTCAGGCTAAGGAAGTTTCAGCAGTTGGTGTGTGCTCTTCCTGGATGGAATGAAAAGTAAAGAAGCCAGGGGCTGGGCTGGTATGCATGCAAGACAGGTAGTCAGTGAAAATGTAGATTGAGGAGTCAATGGCTGAGAGACAGGCTGGGGGGGGCAGGGAAGAGAGAGAAGGGGGATGGAAGTGGAGAGATACCTGGGGAGTCAGATGTCAGGCAGGTTATAATGTGTCATAAATCCAGTGTCTATATTTAGTCCATGATTTTTAGTATCCAGGAGGTTGATGAAGTGGAGTTCATAGGCTCGTCTCTGGGAAGTGTTGTGTAAGTTTCCTTTGAATTTCTATATATACTCTTTACATATTATATACATGTAGTGGCATATTCTAGATGAGAAGTCTGCCATCATGTTAGTTTGTGTAAATCAGTATAGTAGACTGTATATATTCAACATGTATACTATTGTTACAGGGTCAGATTATGAACATTTTATTCCGGTGAAATATTACTTACATGAGCTCTCTTATTGAAATAAATGAGATTGTTGGTACTTAGAGTCCTGCATGTTTTCAAGTTCAAGTGCTCCTTCTTTGGTAGGAGCTCAGAGCCTGGCTCATTTAGTGGTTTTGGTGATAGCACCTCTAAAAGCATAGTGTCCCCTTAACAACGTATTGGTGTATTGATCTTTACAACTTTCTGAAAAGGAAAGAATACTGCTTCTATACTGCTTCTATCGGCACCGCTTCCTATAAAATCTAGGTGTTTTTGTTAACATCCCAATCAAAGAATGACCTAACCCTATGTTTATCACAGGATCTGTCTGATGGGACTGTAGTAAAGGCAGTAAGATTTCAGACTAACAGCTGTAGAAAACATACTCCCAAGTTCTGATCTGTGCACAAAATTCACAGCATATGTTAAATAGTTATTGTGTACCATGGAATGAATTTAATTGTATTTAGCCGTCCTGTAATTTACAAACCAATTGTTAAAACATGCTGCAAGATGTCAAACTCATATTTTTAATATGTTGGGCAAACTGTCAAATGGTCAGTGTTCCTTGCTTCAGCCTTTTTTGATTAGTTGCCTTTCAGGCAGATTTGGACAGTTATATGGAAACTATGCAAAGATGAACAAAGAAGGAACTGGAGTGATAATCTGAGAGGGTAACTGGGAAATTGGTCAAAGGAAGAAAAGCATGATGTAGATGGCTCATGGCATATTGCTTTTTATCCTATTCACTTAAAAACAATGTGCTATAATTTATGAGTAGACAGACCTGGTTAATCCTTGCTTGGTTTATGTAGATGGTTGGGTGTCCAAAAGCCCTAAATCAGTTTTATAGTATGCATTACATGTACTGTTGACTGGCTGACCTGAATAAAATGAAGTTTACAAAATGGTTTTGATTAACTGTGTCTGAATGTAGACATTTAGCCTATTATTAAAACTAGAAGTCAGTGGTTTTATATTTTGTTAAATTGCTAACCATCTTTTGAGTTAGAGTCATAGTTCCCATAATGTCCAATTAAAAAACAATATTACTCAAAGATAATAAATAAAAGCTTTCCAGCTCTGTAAGAATAGTGTAGCACTTTTTTGGCTAGCACCCATTCAACTCCATTGTAATACTACGGAGAAATTCCTGGCAGAGACCATAGAAATCTGAGTTTGTTTTATCCACAGCAGAGACAGGAGGATCTGTTGGTTAAACAGGTGTTGCTCCAATCCATCATGCTTGGACATGACAGCAGGCACTGTTGTGGGAATGTGTCAATGTGTCCTCTAAACAATGTGCTGTAAAGATCTAGCTTTCCCCTAAGGTTTTGTTGTATGCACTTCTAATGTGCCTCAGGTTGGGTGCTCAGAAAAAAGTTTCCCATGTTAGAGCCTATTTTTCAAATTTGAGCTCTAAGTATCTTGGGTTTGGCTCCTATGTTCAGTAGCTTAAAGAATGAGAGAGGTACTTTCTACACTGAAGTTCATGGGGCGCTCACATTACCCCCGTGAAACCTCCTAGGAACTTATTTTAATGACTGCATGGAGTTTTGGAGGTGAAAAGAGCAGTGTGTGTGCCAAATATTACTGCCATTGAGTATCGGATCAGAAGTATGGCCCACCTCCTATTTGGAAATTCTTAGTTCTTAATAGGAATCCATGATGCCTTATTCTATGCCTCGAGACAAGGGCTGTATTAACTATATCAATATTACTCAATCAGCCAGCTAATAACTACAGGTTAAAGGGAATCAAGGTTCTTTGGGTAGATGTTATATCTTTTATTAGACCAACTAAATAGTTGGAAAAAAGTTCTTTGCAAGCTTTTGGGCACAAAAAGATTCCTCTGGGTAACCTGTTCTAGTGTTTTACTAATCTCTTTCCTCATACCTAACCTAAGCGTATCTTGCTGAAACTTGAGACCATTGCTCCTTGTTCTCTCATCTGCCACCACTGAGAACAGTCCAGCTCCATCTGCTTTGGAACCTCCCTGCAGCTAGCTGAAGGCTGCTATTAAATCCCCCCTCAGTCTTCTCTTCTCCAGACTAAATAAGCACAGGTCCCTCAGCCTCTCCTCAGAAGACATGTGCCCCATCCCCCTAGCCATTTTTGTTGCTCTCTGCCGGACTCTCTCCAATTTGTCTACATCCTTTCTGTAGTGGGGGACCCCAAACTGGACCCAGTACAATAGATATGGCCGAATAAAGGGAAACAATCACTTCCCTTGATCTGCTGGTAATACTCGTGCTAATGGGGTCAAATATGCTGATAGCCTTCTTTGCAACAAGGGCACACTCACCTTGGCTCATATTCAGCGTATTGTCCACCGTAACCCCAATGTCCTTTTTTGCAGAGCTGCTGCTTAGCCACTCAGTTTGCAGCCTGTACTGGTGTCTGGGGTTTTTCTGTCCTGAGTGCAGGATTTTGCACTTCTCCTTATTGAACCACATGAGGATTCTTCCCATCAGTTACCAGAGAGAGTTGAAGTCTGCTTTTCTGAAGTGCAGGGTCCTTACTCTGCTGTTCTCCTTCCTTCCTTTTCTCAGGATCCTGAACTCAATCACCTCATGATCGATGCTGTCCAAGTTGCCATCCGCTTCTACATTCCCTACCAATTCTTCCCTGATTATGACCAGCAGGTCAAGAAGAGCATAGCCCCTAGTTGGGCTCCCAGAAAAAATCCTATATCCAGTGCAGCCTTTCCGTCACTTCACCCATTCTTACTCTGAGGTCCAACTCAGTAATGAGGAAGTACTTCTTTTCATCAAACCCCCTACCCCAGGTAGGGTAGGCCTCCAACAGTAAAGAGAGACACCCCCTCCTATAAAGTCTATTCTCCATCTAACCAACCAGCCCACCACTCAAAGGAAACTATATCTCCCACCCAAATTCCTTTCATACAGAACCCACCTGCCTTCAGCACTGCCTATTGAATAATCTCTTCTCAACTGCTGCTCCAATGAGCAGCTCCCTGCTAAACAATCCACCTGTCTGAGGCATAGTGAGGTGTTAAAGGATAGGTTGATAGATACTGGATGGTGGCAGGAAGGACTGATAAATCTAAGAGGGGAAGAAGATGTAATCAATGGATTTTTTTAAGAGTGTGGGAGAAGACTCTAGACTGATTTTTTTAAGGGGGAGTCCAGGGTAAAAGGTGGGACTGGTGGAATGTTTTTAGTATCATGGAAGAATATTTGATGTTAAAAAAAATTGTCTACACCTCTTTCCAGATGGAACACTTTTGAGGGAATACTTTATTAATATTTTGGAAGAACATCATTGGGCTATGTCAAGAGGCTTAGATTTTGTGGAAGCAAATGTTAAGATAAACAAATAAAGGGTCAAGGTTTACTGCTACTGTCCTTCCAAAATATATTTTACTTAATGAATTTAGGAAAATACAAAATGCTTCCAAAGCTCAAAAGAAATAGCAGACTCCGGATTTAATTTCATATAAAAATATCCCATTTTGGGGAATCGGTTCATAAATTTAATATACTATGCATATTAAACACTATTGTCCTGCAAGCATTAGTCCTATCTATATATGTGTGATTTATAAATTTAGTTGTTGTCTGTATTATTAAAATGCATGCTGTGGAATTATAAGTGGTGGGAATTTTCCTTATTCCTTGTAAAGAGGGATAGGTCTTGTGAATCATAAAAGCTAATGAAGGATATTTATATTGCTTACCAATTCATTGCCCATGTTTTCACCAACTAGTTCTAATTAAAGTCCATGTGATGGAACTGTATGTCTTGCCTTCATATTCTATGATTCACAGGCCCAAATCCAACTCCCCACAAACTGCCTCTTACATAGATTTTAGATTATTTTCCTTTGTCCTTCAGAGTCTGCATAGAAAGGAAGTTCTATGGCAAGTTACTTTCTACTTTGCCTGGAAAGCATATACATCTATGTAAGTCCCCAAGATCTGCACGAGGGAAAAATATAGCTACCAACAGGGAGCGTTCTCTTTAAGCTCTGTGGTATGCATAGCCACACAGGTGTGGTCATGCCACGTTGCCAGGCGTGCCTGTGTGGCCATGCATGCCATGCAGCTTAGAGGGAACACTGCCAACAGGTTAACAGAGGAAGACCTCCCTACTTTTTAGCTCAGTAGTCATAGCACATACCCAATGGATGTGAGATGCATGCACTAGCTCCTTCCTCAGCCACAGGGGTTTGAACACACATACACACATTTCTAATTTCCACATCTTTTTCTGTGGTAACAGGCCAAAAAGACAGCCAAGAGGTGGAGGGATGTAGATGTAGAAGGTGAATCAGGCAGAGAAATCTGTGGCTCAGTGACAGGTTCTGGAAGCAAGGTTTTTCTGGGTTCTTGCTTTGTTCCTACCTCTAATAGTTTTCCTGCATTACAATAACTAATTACTGAATAGTGGATAACCATAGATAGAATTGTTCAAGTCATTTCTGAAGATGAGACTTGAACCCTTTTGATGCGACTGTGGCAGGACACTTGATATGCCTACCACTGTAAGAGGTCAGGAAGCCTGCTGGGCCAGCAGGAGATAGAGGGTCAGGGCTAATTGCATAGTCAGCTGACCCAAGGGCCTGATCAAGGGAGTCACCAGATTGGAGGAGGGCTGGGTGTAAACAGGTTATAAGCCCAGACCCTGAGAGCAGGTCTGGCAGTAACATCTTGGGAGTTGGTGTTGGAGCATCACCCAGAAGAATGGCTGCTGCTTCTGAATGCCAGCAAGGAGAATAATATCTGGAGGTTTGGATAGGAGCTAAGGGGATGGAGGAGATTCCTGGGGGACCCAGTGTGGGGTTCCAGCGCCCTGAAAAGTGGGCTGAATGTACAGGGTGAGAGGCTAGGTGAGCCCTTGGAGAAGGGCTGAGGATCTGTGGGCCTCTTGAGGTGCCAGGTGAGCCCTGAGAGAGGATGAGTGTTTGGGAGACCTAGTGAAGGGTCTGGGTGAACCCAGGGAGTGGGGCACAGTATGCGGGCTGATTGAGGGGCCCAGATAAGCCCAGGGAAGGAAGGGGCTGTATCAGGGAAGATCTATGGAGGGCTCAGGGTGAGCCCAGAGAGAGGAAGCAATCTATGGAGGGGCCTGAGAGGGTGGACACACAGAGATGAGAGGGCTGACAGCTGGAGGATTGATCCTGGGAATCTCAACTGGCCTGTGGGGGCCAGGGCTCAGGATGGACTGAAGGGTGAAATAGAGACTGCCAGACCTGAGAGAGCCCGGAGTTCTCGACTGGCTGGTGACTGGTGCTAGACCATCTGAGGAGGAAAGATCAAGGAAAGGGGTCCAAGAGTGAGCTGGAGGACATAGATGGAGGACCCAGATAGGAAATGGAGTCAGGGGAAAGGGGCTCAATAGTTAGAAGCTCACAAAGGGTGTAGGATATCTGGGGGAGCCCAGAGAGGGATAAGTAAGGTCAGGTAGGCCTGAAAACTGGTCCTGGGTAAGACCTGAAACTGCGCCCTACTGGGGCTGGTTAGCTTGGTGGGGCAGCTTCCATGAAATGCCATGCATGGACCACTTCAGGGAAAGGTGAGGATGGGGCACCGGAAAGCCTTAGGTCTTATTGCTTTGTGGTTCACCCTGTGGAGGAGGAAGGCTAGGGGAGCACACCCCTACAGAAAATCACTTCCCAAGGAAGCCTGGGACCACATGGGTCCAGAGGCTCATCGAGTGGCCAGGGAAGATCAGGACCATGTGGGTCCAGTGGTCCAGCAAGGGGCCAGGCAGTAGAGTGAAGCCCAGCAAGCGGATGGGGAGTGAAGTGCAGGACCAGACGGGTCCGAGGACCTGGATAGTGAAACCCAATGAAGGGTCTGAGGAATACAGTGAGGCCCAGCGAGCATCATGGGACTGGAAGGGTCCAATGGCCCACTGAGGGGATAGAAATCAAATCCAGGGCTAGATGGGTCTGAAGGCCTGGGGAGTGGCTGGGAAAATGAAGAACTAAAAGGATCCAGGATGAGGGACCAAATGGGGCTGGCAGCCCAGAGACACATTGGAAGGGAGACCGAGGGGCCCCAGGGAGTGGTTGTGTGAGACTGAGAGGTCTGAGAGGCCAGAGAGGGGTCGGAGGAGAGACCAAGGGGTCTGGCAACCCAAGTGGGGCTAAGAGGGAGACTGAGGGGTCTGGCAGCATGGGAAGGGGCTATGAAGAGAGCCCGAGAGGTCTGAAGGCCTGGAGTGGGGCTGAGAGAGGCCAAGGGGTCAGAAGGCCCAGAGAGGGGTTGCATAAGCAACTGGTGGAACATCTGTAAGGATGCCATCTGCAAGGCATGGGGCATGGTGTAGGGAGGTGCGGAGCCAAGCAATTGACCCATAAGGCTAGGACCACAATCCAGGTGGTCATTGTAACAACACCAGGGCAGCCTCCTGTACTCTGTATAACAACTAACATCAAGGCATAGTGGGTGAGAGCTGGGCAGACTGTCCATAGAGAAGGGTATCTCAAAAAAATGTTTTTCTTGGTTTCCCTATGATGGTGACCACTTTCTACAGCAATGACTTAAAATGATTTAAAAAAAAATCCTTTTATTTTTACCTACTTAGATATACTGGGAAGAACCTCACAACATCCTGTTCGTCGTCATTTCTGAAGGTTCCTTTCTATGCAATTAAAATCCAGTATGTGAACATCATATAGAACACAGTTGCTTTCCCAGTCACCAGTCTTAGAAGCAGCAGCAGCCGTAGCTGAAGCAGCAGCAGAAACACAATATGATATACCTGGTTATGTTGTACTTGACTTAAAAGTTGTAACTCTATATACAGAAGACAATTGCAAGGAGAGATTATGGGAAAATACCTTACTGGAACTCGCTTAGCTTATTGTCTTTTACCTGCATGATTATTTCACAGCTGTCAGAGATAGTACAGTGTCCTGTTTTTAATAAAAGCAGTGAAAGAAGAGAATGTAGCAACTGGAAAACCTTTCTGCTGAAAGCAGGTCCCTCACAACTGATTGGCTAATTAAAACATTGATGCAGCTAATCCACGTTGACATTTTTATAGCCTTTACATGAATCAACTTTTAAGGGTATGGTGGGGAAGAGAGATAAGTCCACTGGCACTTGATCACAGAAAAAGAAGGTATTGTATGAAAAAAATACTGGTTTAAAATGAACATATAAAAATTAACTCGGTGCCTAAAAATAAACATCAGTGGGAATCTCCTACATAGACGATAACTAATAAAATAGTATGTGAAATGATAAATCCATAGTGGCAAACATCAGGTCTCCCAGGACCAGCTAAACTGTGCACATGCACCCTTTGGGATGGCACTGGTGACAATTATGTTCATGTGTGAAGTCGTGAGTACTAAGCCAGAGGCAGTAGTGACTAACTGTATTGGTGATTTTGCTTCAGCATTAATGAGACCACTTCTGAAAGATTACATATAGTCCTGAGGTCCAAACTTTAATTAGAATGATGAAAAATCTGAGAACTGTCAATGAAGAGCCATGAGGATGATTCAGCATCTGGAAAACATACTTAAGAGTAAGCAAATAAAGAAATTCAATCTACAATAATTAGCATCTAGAAAAAATTAAGAAGGAACTCAATCACAATCTAATTAGTACACATACTGTGCAAATATATATATTTCTAGGCTCTTCAATTTAGCAGAGATAGGATCAGCAAGACGCAGTAGTTGCAATTTAAAAGTATTAAAGAAAACCTGAAAGTTTTACACTTTTAGCGGTGAGGAAGTTATCAATCAGAAAAGGTCATTAAGGCTCGGTACAGACATTCAAACAGCCAGAGGCGGAATTGATCTAAGTTATGTGCTTCTCTGTAAGTGGTGTAGTTGAGAGTGGTAGCAAACAGAACACACCTGCCCTTTGGTGGAGGACGCAGGGAAATCTTATGCTGGATTCTTCCATTTTTAAGCCAGTCTATGCGTGCCAAACTTCTGTTCTTTTATGGGTATAGACCGGTTTTGCATGCCAAACTTCTGTTATGGGTATAAACCGATCACTTATGCTGGTAAAAGTAAAATGTCTGAACCTGGCCTAAGGGATTGTCCATCTCTTAAAGTCTGAAAGTCCTTCGAAAAGATAAGCGCTCTCTCACCCACAGATGACTGCAAGAATTTCTGGATGATATTTTTTGACCTATGCTCCTCCTGAGATCAGACTAGAGGTTTCTTTTGACCATAAAATCTATGACTATGAAGTTGTCAGCTACAAGAGAAAAACATCACTGGCTCCATTTCACCTTCTGCACTCTGCTGGAGATCTGCCTTATCCTCTGCCTAAGACAGAGTAGCCTGCAAGGCTGCTCTAATTTATGAATGGCTTCCTGTAGATGCCTATGGGCTGCTCTGCTGGCTTAGGATAGCAGGATTGCAGAGTGCTGTAGTCATATCTCCTCCTCTTCCCTCACTCTACACTCCATCTGATTTCTTGTAACAAAGAAAAGAAAAAAGCCCCTATATTTTGTCACTAAGAGATTTTTAAATAGACCACTAATTAATCGATGAGCCACACTTGCTTGACAAATGCATGCAAGTAGTCCCATAGAAATGAATGATACTGTCAGGTTAATAAGGCAAACAGGAATGAGCATGTAACAGTATGTGACAATACAGTATTTTCATTCTGCACTTATAGAGAAACCCTGGAGGCAACAGAGTAAGTGGAATGTAACAGATCCTACTGCCAGCACTGTATTACTATCAGCAGTTGGGTTGTGCCTAATCCTGAAGGCTTAATTCTTCCACAAAAACACTTCAAAGTCAGTAAAAGTTTTGAAAAAGCAAGATATGCAGGCTCTGATATATCAGAGGTCATGCTTATGAAAAAAGGGAAACAAATCAGAAAAGCCACATTGGTTTTTACTCGATGAAGCCAAAAGGGAGAGAGAGTCAGATAAAGATATATTGAGCCACCTTTTGTTGTCAGTTAAATCTGGAGTAGATCTAGTAGATCTGACATCAATGGGGTTAGTTTAGATCCGTTCTAGTGCGAATGAGGGCAGAATACGGACAATTATTTCCATATTTGTAAAAAGATATAACAGATCCTGGAGCACAACAAAACCAGGAGTAAGGAAAAAGTACTTGGTAATGTTCTTTTAAAGCAATAAATGTACACAGGCATAGCACTCCACCTTACTTCAGTACAATGCCACATCAGGAGAGACCATAGCTGGTGTCCATCAACACATCTCTATCAACTTCAGAAGAAATGTGCTGTTTTGTACAAGTGAACAGCTGAGCTATAAGATTTTCTGTGCACAACACTACAGGATACCACTTGAAAACATTAATCAACTACTGGGCTAGTACTGGAATTATGGAAACTTTGATGGAGGGTGGATCCCAAGAAATTTAAAATGAATTAGTCCCATTTCATGTGGAAAACTGTAGAGAAATATGCATACATTAAGGAAATATGCAAGCTAATGTCCTAGTTGTTTATCGTTTCCATGTGTTTATTTCTAAACAGCATAATTCAAGAAATCCACTTTGGTCATATGGAAAAAATATGGGGCAACAAACCTGAAAAGGAGAGCTAGGTTAGCTTGTTTCTTTAGCTCTTTCCATCTTGGGGGCCATTTTTAAAAGCAATTTCTTAAGACACTGGTATTGATATAGTATACCAACTATTCCCTGTAACTTGTTTTCTGTTTATTCAATACTTTTCATTTGCCCTTTATTATTTCTTTCTTTTCTTTTATCCTATTTTCCTTTTATCCTACTTTCCCTTCTATCAGTTCTTCCTTCCATTTCTCTGCTTACCACCTTAATTAAGTTCTCTCTTCTTACAGTTCTCTCATTTTTGTCTCCTTTCTTACCCTTAAAGCAAAATAATTATTATCATAACTTGTCCCCTTTTCTCTGCCCACACTTACTTCCTCATCCTTTTGTTTCCTGCCATTGACCTCTGTGGAATTTATGCCTTCATAATCACTAATATGCTCAGAATAACCAATTTATTAATACAAGCCAGATCTCTTTCACCTTGCTTTTCAGGAAGTGGAGTTGTCACAACCTAGCATCTCAGTCCCACCCTGCAATTCTTCATGTTACCTTTTTCTTTTTCCTTCCTTTTTTGTTTTCACTTGTGTCTTTTCATTGTAACACCTTCCAGCCAAAGGTCTTAGAGCCTAGAGCAGGGAATACATTTGAAAAACTATGCAAGTAAAATAAAAAATGAATGACGTTGTATGCGTATATGGTGCTTTTCTAGACTCTTAGATTCTGGGTACTCGTTCTTGAAGAGAAAAGGGAATAAGCAAGAAGAATCTATCCCAGAAGTGACTGGTTCATTAGCTCCCTCTTGTGGCTGGTCCACATAGAAGATGTTACAGTTTTCAGTACAGGATTGTACTTTTCTTGCTCACGTTTTAGCAATTTGTACTTCTAGTGTGGAAGGTCCATGGTTCAGAAACTCACTCAGACTTTCATAGGATCACCAAAAACAGCTTATGCATTTTGAAAGGGGTGGGTTATTTTTGGATCAGCATTTGTATGTGATTTAATAATAAACTCTTACAGGAGAACTAGGCCTGGGCTTGTCCGGAGAAGGTGAGAGGGCTCAGGCTGTGTCTACGTCTGTGACTACAGTTGTGTTAAGGTTTGTACAACAAGCACAAGACTGGAATAAAGCTTCTTGAATTCTGTAATCCCCCTCCACGCACATGCACACGCACACACATGCACACTCCCTTGGTAGGGTCAGAAACATTCTGCCCCTTATCACCATTTGTGTTAGTGTTGCAGTCAGGAGCCAACCATGGACCAGGGCCCCCATTGTGGTTAGCACTGTCAAACACCAAACAAAAAAGAATGCCCCTCCTCTAAAGAGCTTACAGTCTACCTGTCAGAAAGACAAGGGACAGATGCAGGTAAAGGGAGTGCAAGTAAAATTCTGAAATAACATTGGCCAGCATGACAGGCAGCAGTATCAGCACACCAGCTTCCTAGCTGTCATCAAGTTAGTCTCACTGAAAAGACTGTATGGGAACAAATTCCTACTATTATGTAACAGAGCTGATTTTGTGCTGATATAGAGCGATTCAGTTAAATTCCAGATGAACACCATATCTGCTCATTTTTAGCAAATTATCAAAAAAGGGCGCATCCACATGTGCAGGCACGTGTGCTTGCAGCAGCTCAGATAGCAATGGCACAAATTTGTGCTGGAGATTTGTGCCTCAGCACACATGCCTGAACATGCACTGTCATGTGGGAAAAGTTGTGCCTCTTGGGGCAAACTAGCCCTGCCAAACTTCCCCCGGGTCTGCAGCCAGGGGAAGCCTGTGCTGGCCCCAACAGTATAAAAAGCTGCCCTGGCAAGCAGCTCAGGGCTACTTGCTCTCAGGAGCTTCTGAGGGAGGGGACTTTGGGAGGAAGTTGGCCACGCCTCTTTCTGTCCCATGCTGCTGCTGTTGCTAGTTGCTGCAATCTTGGTCTCAGGAGCTTCTGGGGAGAGGATGGTCAGGCCCTTCCTGCCTCTGGCTACTGCTAGCTGCTGGCTTGGTTTCAGAGCTTTTAGGAGTCAGTTGGCTTCACCCCTTCCTGCCTTGGGCAGCTGCTCCTGTTGCTGCCCCCCGACCCCTCGGGGAGGGGCCCACTGCACTGCACCACACCCCATCTTCTGCACCCCTGTTCCAGCCTGCTGCCCAGCCCACCTCCAAACTGCACTCGGGGAACAGCCTGGGGAGGGAGCCTGTGCTACCTGTGGGCCCCTCCCCCACCATCACTGCCCAAGCCTAAAGGTACCTTGCCTGCCCCAGCTGCCTTGGCAGGCCAGCCCCCACCTTCACCTCCACTTTCCCCAGCAGCACACCCTGAGTGGCTGAACTGGACAGCTCCTACCATCACTGCTGCTGTTGCTCCTGCTACTGCTGTCCCCTCTCAGGAGAGAGGGAGATTCCCTGCTGCACCACCTGACACCACACCTGCACTGGATTACTTCCTAATTGACTGACTGCTCCTGCCCTCCCCCACAGCTACCTCACTGCATCTGATCCTGATTTGTCTTCCTGCCTACTGCTCTGCTGCTGAGCTCCTGGAAGGAGCCTCACCCCCACGCTTACCCCCACCCCTGTCCCAGGGGGCTGCAGAGCTCTCCCAATTCCAACTAGAGTTCAGGGTCTTAGCAGACTGGGGTGTTCAGATGGTGCTGAAGGAGCCCTCTGAGCTTCAGGACTAGGAGGAGGACACATGAGAACCAGCAGGCTCCATGGAGCCTGCAGACCTCTCAGTCCCAGCAATCCCCAGGGATGAGCTACTTGCATTTCTTGACCATGACTGCACCTGCCAGTCTGCCAGCAAGGTACAGCTAGCCTTGGACCACTGGGGAGATTTTGAC